TTTTTGAGATGGAGTCTCGTCTTGTTGCCAGGCTGGAGTGCAGTGGCGCGATCTCGGTACTTCAACCTCTGCCTCAAGCTATTCTCCTACCTCATCCTCCTGAGTAGCTGGAACTGCAGGCGCGCACCACCATGCCCCGTTAATTTTTTGTATTTTTAGTAGAGATGGGGTTTCACCATGTTGGCCAGGATGGTCTCAATCTCTTGACCTTGTATCCACTCTCCTCAGCCTCCCAAAGTGCTGGGATTTCAGGCGTGAGCCACCGTGCCCGGCCTGTTTGTACATGTGTTAAACAAGCAAGGTGAAATGCTATTACTATCAAAAATAGCCAAGTGAGGAGAGGCAATTATAAGTAGCCAGAATCTGAGAAGCAGCTATGACGTTCGCTTTCATTTTGCATTCAGGCTTGTTTTTCCGCAATTTCTTTTCCTATATGTGCTACCACTAGATGGCAGTGCAATGTCATTCTGGTGGTCTTTAAACGAAGAGCCACGATAACGACTTCAGGACTTCCCCTTGGCCTGACTGAAAGGTAGAACTGAGACTCCCATTGCCTTCATCCATCCATCCATTCTTCCACCCACTCATTCACCCAACAAATATTCATTGCCTTTAAAAATAATTCTTGATAATTACATAGTTGTGTTTAAAATGATATTGCCAGAATTATATCAAAGATGACTGAAGGAGGCCGGGCAGAGTGGCTCATGCCTGTGATCCCAGCACTTTGGGAGGCCAAAGCGAGAAGATCACGAGATCAGGAGATCGAGATCATCCTGGCTAACAGGGTGAAACCCCATTTCTTTTAAAAATACCAAAATTAGCCAGGCATGGAGCTGTGCACCTGTAGTCTCAGCTACTTGGGAGGCTGAGGCAGGAGAATTGCTTGAACCTGGGAGGCGGAGGTGGCAGTGAGCTGAAATCATGCCATTGGATTCCAGCCTGGGCAACAGAGTGAGACTCCTTATTTTAATTAAAAAAAAAGAGGACTGAAGGAGACCAGAGAGAAAATGAACAGATTGAAGTACATTGTTCACTGTCAGTACAGGGTAGAAGTTCAAAAGTGGGTGCTAGGATGTTTCCAAGCACAAGGGATCAAGCATTAGGTTTGGTCTCAAATCAAGGTGGTGGTGAAGGGCTGAAGGGCTGACAGAGCCTTGGGAGCCATTTCTTGGGATGGGATCTGAAGTAATTGAAGTTCAGAGTTTTGAAACCAGAGGAACAGATAGCCATCAGTCAGAAATAGGGTGGTGTTCATGAATTTTGGTCACTGGTGTCCTTGTGGATCCAGGCAGTTTTGTAGAATTCTCATACATACAGCTGCCAACAGAGGCAATTTGGTACTCAGCTTGCCAATTTTTAACCACATACTATGATTTCCGTTGTACACAATAAAGGAGAGAAGCATTTGGTTCCTTTGCTTACATATTCGCTGCTTGTATACTTCTTTCCTGTTCTGTTGTCTCTAGCCTATGTTTCACCTGCATCTGCTACAAGCTTTAACTTCTTTACTAAGAGACCTCTGTAAGACTATCCCAAAACTAAAAAGGGTCTAGGGATGGTGGCTCACACTTATAATTCCAGCACTTTGGAAGAGCAACATAGCAAGACCCCATCTTTACAAAAAATATTTAAAAATTAGCTGAGCATGGTGGTGCATGCCTCTAAGTCCCAGCTACTTGAGAGGCTGAAGTGCGAGGATCACTTGAGCCCAGGGAGAGGTTATAGATCATGCCACTGCATTCCAGCCTAGGTAACAGAGTGAGACCTCGTCTCTAAAATAAAACAAAACAGGCTGGGCTCGGTGGCTCACGCCTATAATCCCAGCACTTTGGGAGGCTGAAGTGGGTGGATCACGAGATCAGGAGATGGAAACCATCCTGGCCAACATGGTGAAACCCTGTCTCTACTAAAAATACAAAAATTAGCTGGGTGTGGTGGTGGGTGCCTGTAGTCTCAGCTACTGGGGAGGCTGAGGCAGGAGAATCACTTGAACCTGGGAGGCAGAGGTTGCAGTGAGCAGAGATGGTGACACTGTACTCCAGCCTGGTAACAGAGCAAGACTACATCTCAAAAATAAAACACAAACAAACAAACAAAAACTACTAATGGGAGAAGTGGATTGGTCTCCTCAACTGACTTCTTTAGTTCAAATTGCCTCTATCAGAACATCAAAGAGGGCAAAATTTGCTATCCCCTAATGATCAAAAGCGTGATTGTATTCTTTCAATATATAGAGAGAACCACATAAAATTGAGAGGGTAGCTTTATTGTCTTAGGTAATGGCGTTTAAATCTTTTAGAATCTGAACCTCAGTCAGAAATATATGTTACTTCACAGCTGTGGCAGCCCCTGGCCTGTTTGCTCTCAAATCCATTCCTGTTCTGCTGCAATGTCACGGGGATGCTGACCCCCACAGGCTGTGTTTCTGAGACTCTCAGGTTGTTAAGTGATTCCTGGCTGAGTCCTACTGATACAAGGCCCTGCCACCGCACTGGAGAGTGGGAAGAATGGAAAAGCTAGGATGAGTCTCCTTGTCTTTCCCTGCGTGAGGTGCATTTCTGACAGTGGCTAAGTCTACTTCCTGGCTTCAGTTCCAGTCAGAAAGGGCCTCCTGTCATTTCAGCATCACTAGATGAGTCCAGTTCTGAGATCTAGCCACACTGCCTCCTTTCTTTGTCCCTTCGGTCTAAAAGGATTAGTGGTTTTTGCTGTTGCTAATCTCTGGTTGCCTCACCTTCCCCTATTTGGCTTCTCAGCCTTTTCGTCATTTATGTAACCAGTTTCCTGTATTAAATTTCCTATGTTAAAAACAAATGGGATGATGGTTTCTTTTTTGTGACACATTTTAATATATATATGAAACTGAAACAAATGTTTCATTAACAATATTCTTCTTAGTGTGTGCAATGACTGATATTTCTTATTTCATTCAATTTTCACTTTATGCAGAATCTCTGTTGTCCAGGCTGGGGTGCAGTGGCAGTATCTCAGCTCACTGCAATCTCCACCTCCCAGGCTCAAGCAATCCTCCCACCTCAGCCTCCCAAGTAGCTGGGACCACAGATGTGCACCAGCACACCTGTCTAATTTTTCTACTTTTTGTAGAGATGGGGGTCTCACTATATTGCTTAGGCTAATTTTGTACTCCTGGGCTGAAACAATCCTCCTGTCTTGGCCTTTCAAAGTGCTGGGATTACAGGCATGAGCCCCACCATGCCAGCCAATTTCAGTTTTTAAAAATGCCAGTCACAACCCACTAAACTAAGTTCACAAGTTACTCACTAATGGATTACATCTCACTAATTTGAAAAATGCTTGGTTTAGAGACTGCATTTATTCATTTTTTTTTCATAGTCAGGTTTGCTGAGTTGTAATCTAGACACAGTAAACTCATACTTTTTAGGTCACAATGCAGGAATCTTGACAAATTTATCCAGAATATTTCCATCATCCCCAAAAGTTCCCTTGTGCTCTTTTGTAGCTAACCCATCCCTTCCTCCCTAGTCCTTAGTAACCACATATGTGCTTTTGGTCTCTGTCATTTTATCTTTTCAAGAATGTCATATAAATACAATCATACCATATATAGCCTTCTGGATGGGTGGGGTGTGGTGGCTCACACCTTAATCCCAGCATTTTGGGAGGCCAAGGTCAGGGGTTTAAGACCAGCCTGGCCAATGTTGTGAAACCCTGTCTCTACTAAAAATACAAAAATTAGCCAGGTGTGGTGGTAGGCATCTGCAATCCTAGCTACTCTGGAGGCTGAGGCAGGAGAATTGCTTGAACCTGGGAAGCAGATTTTGCAGTGAGCCAAGATCGCACCACTGCACTCTAGCCTGGATGATAGAGCCTATGTATATTTTGAGAATAAATGAATAAAACCAGATGCAGAAAGCTATAGATATACATACACACATATATGGCCTCTATATATACATAACACACACACACACACACACACACACACACACACACACGCATATGGCCTTCTGCATCTGGTTTTATTCACTTAGCATAAGGCTTTTTATAGTCAACCATTTTTTTTGAGATGTAGTCTTGCTCTGTCACCCAGGCTGGAGTGCAATGGCGAGGTCACTGAAATCTCCACCTCCTGTGTTCAAGCGATTCTCTTGCCTCAACCTCCTGAGCAGGTGGAACTACAGGCGCATGCCATCACACCCAGTTAATTTTTATATTTTTAGTAGAGATGGGGTTTCAGTATATTGGCCAGACTGGTCTCGAACTCCTGACCTCAGATGATCCACCTGCCTTTGCCTCCCAAAGTTCTGGGATTACAGGTGTGAATCACCACACCCAGCCGTACTGCTATAAAAATTTATATTCAGATATTTGTATGAACACATATCTTGATTTCCCTTGAGTACATACCTAAGAATTGGGATTCGTGGATGTACATTTTGCATTCCTACCAGCAATGCATCAGAGTTCTAGTTGCTCTGCAACCTGGTCAGCATTTAGTATTGTCTTTTTTTTGCCATTATAACAGGTATGTAGTGCTGTTGTATGGCTTTAATTTGATTTTCCTTAATGCCTAATGATGTTGCACAACTTTTTATGTGCTTATTTCTTATTCATATATCTTTTTTGGTCAAGTGTCTATTCAATTATTTTTCCCATTTTAATTGGATTGGTTGTTATCTCTTCCTTTTTTTTTTTGAGGCAGTCTTGTGCTGTTGCCCAGGCTAGAGTGCAGTGGCATGATCATGGCTCATTGCAGCCTCCAACTCCTGGGCTCAATTGATTCTTCCACCTCAACCTCCTGAGTAGCTGGAACTACAGGTCCGAACCACCATGCCTGGCTAATTATTGTATTTTTTGTAAAGACAGGGTTTCACCATGTTGCCCAGGCTGTTTAACTCCTGGGCTCAAGCAATTCAGCTGCCTTGGCCTCTCTGAGTGCTGATTTTACAGGCATAAAGCACCGTACCTGGCCAGATTGTTTGTTTTCTTATTATTCATATATGAGAGTTCTTTATTAATTCTGGATATGTGATTTGTAGTTATTGTACCCAGTAGGTCATCGTCTTTTAATTTCCTAATAGTGTTTTTCAAAGAGTGAAAGTTAAAAAAATTTTTTAATAAATCCAATTTATAGATTTTATTTCTGTTGTGGCTCATATTTTTGTGTGTGTCCTATCTAAAAAATCTTTGTGTAACCCAAGGTCATAATAATTTTCTTCTATGTTTTCTTCTTCCAAAAACCTTATAGTTTTATATTTTACTGTATGGTCTATGATTTTATTTAAATGGTCTATGATCCATTTTATTTTATTTTTATTTTTTATTTTTTTAAGATGAAGTCTTGCTCTGTCACCTAGGCTGGAGTGTAGCAGTGCAATCTCGGCTCACTACAACCTCTGCCTCCCGGATTCGAGCAATTCTCCTGCCTTAGCCTCTTGAGTAGCTGGTATTATAGGTGTGTGCCCCTACACCTGGCTAATTTTTGTATTTCTGGTAGAGATGGGGTTTTACGTGTTGGCCAGGCTGGTCTTAAACTGCTGACCTCAAGTGATCCACTATTCTTTGCCTCCCAAAGTCCTGGGATTATAGGCATGAGCCACCATGCCCAGCCCTGTGATAAATTTTAATTTGATGTTTGTATAGCTTGCAGGATGTGGATTAAGGTTTATTTTTTATGCTTATGAATGTCCAACTGTTTCAGCTTCATTTGTTGAAAAGAGTATTCTTTGTCCACTGAATGCTTTTGGTCTTTTGTCAAAGTCATTTGACCATCAGCTGGGTGAGGTGGCTCATGCCTATAATCCCAGAACTTTGGGAGGCTGAGGTGGGTGGATCACTTGAGGTCAGGAGTTTGAGACCAGCCTGACCAACATGGAGAAACCCCGTCGCTACTAAAAATATAAAAGTTAGCCAGGCATGGTGGTGCATGCCTGTAATCCCAGCTACTTGGGAGGCTGAGGCAGGAGAATCACTTGAACTCAGGAGGTGGAGGTTGCAGTGAGCCAAGATTGTGCTATTGCATTCCAACTTGGGCAATAAGAGTGAACCTCCGTCTCAAAAACAAACAAACAAACAAAAAGTCAGTTGACCATCTACTTGTGAGTCTTTCTGGATTTGCCATTTTGTTTCATTTATTTACATGCCTATTTTTTCACCAATTCTACATCCTCTTTGTTACTGTAGCTTTAGATTAAGTGTAGAAATCAGGTTATGTGAATCCTCCAATGTTTAAAAAATCATTTTGATGACTAAAAATCACAGTCAATTTTAGAATCAGCTTTTCTATATATACAAAGAAGTCTGATAGAATTTTGATTGGGATTGTGCTGAATCTATAGACCAATTTGGGAAGAAATGGCAAAAAAAAATTCAGTCTTCTAATTCATGAACACTTTAAATCTCAGAGACTGTTTTTTAGATTCAAAATGGATGTTTCACTTCCGATATTTGTTTTGTTACCCTATTAGGCTGAAATCACGTGGAGCCTCTGAAGAGATCTTAACTGCTGGGGCTTGATGATGAAAGGCGCCAAGGTGGGAGTTCAGCACAGAATGGCCTCAACTATTTTTATGTTCAAAGGCAAAAGAATAATAGCCTGGGCTCTGGAGTCTTCCTCCATGGGATCAAATTCTGCATCCAATTCTTGTTATCTCATGATCTTGAGCAAATTACTTAACCTCCCTTAAGGTGTTTCTTCATCTGTAAAATGACATGATAAGAATGCTACATGTTTCAGTGAGTTATTGTAGGGATAAAACAAAACAAGATAAAATGTCTAACATAGTGCAATGATTTGTCACAGTCAGTACTCACTAAATTAGCATACAGTCTATGAAAACTAGTATGAATTTTGCCAGTTGACAGGTCAGGAAGAACAGCTTTTTTCAAGACCAACTTGCTCCTTTAAGGCCTCATTGCTTGCCTCTGAATGCCTGAGAGGAGTGCCATTGCCAATCCAGGAGGAAAAGAGGCCAATTTAGTCCATGGGATCAGAAAGAAATGTCTGTGAAACCCAACTCTGTGGACTGCTCATTTACTCTGGCACTGATTTTATTAAGTTAGATGGTCATTAGACTCTAGATCAACAGATGGGGTGAGGAGTGGGATGGAGTCCACATCTCCTTCTTTGTTTATTTTTATTTTTTGAGACAGGCTGCAGTGCAGTGGCACTATGATAGCTCACTGCAGCCTTGAACTCCTGGGCTCCAGTGATCCTCCCACCTCAGGCTCCAGAGTAACTGAGACTACAGCCAGTCCCCACCACACCCAGCTAACTGCTTTATAATCACCCGAGTACAACTCATGTTTTGAAACGATCATGTTTTGAAAGCATGGTACCACAGGGAATAACCCTAGATTTAAAGTCAGAACACATTGGTAATAGCTTGGATTTGACACTTTTTACTGATCAAACCTTGAGTGAGTAACTTAGCATTGCTTTGCCCTAGTTTCCTCATCTGTAAATGGGTATATAGGATGATTATTTCCAACGAGGCTTCCTGAATCCACGGTCTTGCAGTGTTTTCAAAGTTAACATTTTATGGTCAGGCACTGTGGCTCATGCCTGTAATCCCAGCACTCTGGGAGGCCAAGGCAGGTAAATCACTTGAGGTCAGGAACTTGAGACCAGCCTGACCAACATGATGAAAACCCATCTCTACTAAAACAATACAAAAATTAGTCGAATGTGGTGGCAGGCACATGTAATCCCAGATACATGGAAAGCTGAAGCAGGAGAATAGCTTGAACCCGGGAGGCAGAGAGCTGAGTTTGCGCCATTGCACTCCAGTCTGGGTGACAGAATGAGACTCCATCTGGAAAAAAAAATTAACATTTTATTATATCTTATATTAAAAACATACTTGATCATTTAAATATGGCTATTCAGATTTGAATTATACACACCTTCTGTGATATTATGAGCCTGGAGATTATTTCTGTGAAATTATTTGTTATTGCTGTAATAAAGACTGATTGAGCTTATACAACACTATTTCACCTGACCCCTGAATGTCATCAGTGCTTAATATGCATCAGGCATTCACATTCTAACAGCCTTTGTGTTAGTATAATGGGCCAGCGAATTCTATTTGCTGCTAGAGATTCAATCATATTCTATATACAAAGACAGATTGTTTTGATTTGGTATGTGTTGGAGAAATATGTTCAATTGTTAAATTATGTGTGAGTTTTAATCAACTTGAACATATTATTTAACAAATCATATTTCTCTCTAGAATAAAATGTTTCCTTATGAATTGGATAAACCAAATTATTGATCTATATCTATATATCTAAATGACACTTGTGGTACACATTTTGTGTGTGTGGCAGGGGAGGATGTTTTGTTTTCTTTTGTTGTTTTGGAGACAGGGTCTCACGCTGTCACCTAGGCTGGAGCGCAGTGGTGTGATCTCAGCTCACTGCAGCCTCAACCTCCCGGACTCAAGTGATCCTTCCACCACAGCCCCACAAGTAGTTGGTACTACAGGTGTATGCCACCATGCCTGGCTAATTTTGTTGTATTTTTTGTAGAGACGGGGTTTCACCATGTTGGCCAGGCTGGTCTCAAACTCCTGAGCTCAGGCAGTTTGCTCACCTCAGCCTCCCAAAATGCTGGGATTATAGGTCTGAGCCACCATGCCCAGCTGCAGTACACATTTTAAAAACACATTTTGGGGCTTTCAGAAATCCATGTCAGTGGCTGAGCATGGTGGCTCACATCTGTGATCCCAGCACTTTGGGAGGCCAAAGTGGGAGGATGGCTTAAGCCCAGGAGTTGGAGACCAGCCTAGGCAACATGTGAGACCTCATCTCTTAAAAAAAAAAAAAAAAAAAGAAAGCCATGTCAACATATGATACCCGTAGTTTAACTGTTTTCTGTGGAGTCTCATCCAATAATATAATATACATCCATCATTCTAATAGAGTATCTATTATATACTTGAAATTGTGTTACCTGAGAAATACAAAGATGAATATGAGTAAGGAGCTCATGATTTATTGAAGAGATAAAGATAAAAATAATTTATAGTACAATAAAATGAGCACTATAATCAAGATATTAATACATTAAATTTTGGGGGATAAATTTAGTGCTGGCATGTGCCAGACCCTATACTAGCTATTAAGAATAAGATATAAGACTTAAAGAGTTTATAATTTAATAGAGGAGACAGACAAGTACAGAAGAAATTACCAAAGGATACTTAACCTAACCATGTTGCATGAATGGTACAGGAATGAGTTCCCATAGAGGAAATTGAACCTGAGTTTTGAAAAACTAAGGAAGAGGAAAAAGAGGAATAAGGGTATTCTAGGCAGAAAAACAACTGTTGCAAAGATACAAAGATGAGGAAAACTGCAAATTATTTACTATGTCTGGATCCTGGGGTTGCTGTTGGAAAATGGCAAGAGGTGCAGCTGGGATGAGTAGACGCCAGGTAATGAAGGGTTGTGTGGGCAGTTCTAAGGGGCTGGACTTTATCCAAACCACTGAAGGATTTTCAGTAGAGACAATGTACCCACATACATGAATATATAGTCATAAATTCATGTGCATGTGTGTGTCTGTATATACACTTTATTGAGATATAATTCTTTTATCATATTTTTTTTCCAGACAGAGTCTCGCACTGTTGCCCAGGTTGGAATGCAGTGGCGTGATCTTGGCTCATTGCAACTGCTGTCTCCTGGGTTCAAGTGATTTTCCTGGCTCAGCCTCCTGAGTAGCTTGGATACTAGACATGTGCCACCACACCTGGATAATTTTTGTGTTTTTAGTAGAGACGGGTTTCTCCATGTTGGCCAGGCTGGTCTCAAATTCCTGGCCTCTGTCTTGGCCTCCAAAAATGTTGGGATTACAGGCATCATGCCTGACCTATCATATAGTTTTAAAACTATAGTCACTGAGTTGTGCCACTGTCACCACAAGAACTTTTAGAACATTTCATCACCCCAAAAAGAAACTGTATCCATTAGCAGTCACATCCCACTCCACCCCCAGCCACAGGCAACCACCGATCTTTCTGCCTGTTTTGGTGACAGAACTAATTCTGTCTGTTTCAAAGGGCTTTTGCCCAGAATTATGCCCTCTTTCCATTTGGTTAACATAAAACAATCATTTTCTTGTTTTTATTTTTCCTCAAGCATTTGGGACCAGAGATATATTTCAAGTAGTTTTTTAAATTAGTTTTTCTATGTTTATTTTGATATCACATTGGAACAAGGTGCATCCTTTGGTAGACTTTCTGGTTTCTGAGGAGAATTTTATTATTTTTCCTTTTCTGTATCATAAATCACATATTTAAATTGATTCCCTTACATTTTTCTCCTTTTAAAGTGAAAATATCCTACAGAAAGGGTAAGGAATAGTGAGTAAACATAAGTTGTATATGCCACCAGCCTCATCTCCCACTCCCCTTTTTGCACTGCACTCATTATTTTTGATGCAATAGGAAATACAAATGAGTCTTTGTCTCTTCTTCAATTTATCCTCCTCTTCAGACCCTGCTGCCTAATGACCTCTAACAAGCCTTTACATAGAGCTGCGTAAAAAAATGTATTCATGGGCAAATAATATTTTTTTCATTTCTTTTTTCTAGTTTTTTTATTTGTTCATCGGTAAATAATAAGATGCTTTATATTTCTAGCATTTGTGATAGAATATAGGGAACAACGATGTTTGGCTCTCAAACAAGAAGTTCATGAAGCTAGAAGCTCAGGAAGCAAGATAATAAACATATGTCATAAAACACTCAGCAAATATTTATTGAACATTTTTTACGTGCAGTGAATCTAGCTGATCACTGGGGAAGTTACAAAATTGTTTAAAATGCAGGTCTTACCTTGGACAAACTTAACAGTTAAAAGAAAGAGACACAGTCACGTATCCAAATCACAGCACAAACTATAAAAGAGATTTGAAAATTATTTTGGTGATATGGGGGTGTCTGCAGAGTATTTGTTTGGTCATTGTTGACAGCTCTACTGAGATATAATTTATATGTGATAAAATACAACCACTGGACGTGTACATTTGAATTGTTTTTAGTAAATTTATACAATTGTACAACCACCACTACGATCCAGACCTTGGCACCCTTTACTCAGGTATTCATTACCTTTGGGTAGATGTTGGCAGGAGTGCACATGCATGACTCTGAAAGTGAGGACCTACTTAAATTTTGCACCTAGGCACCTTAGTCCTGGTGCTGGCTAGCAGTCATAGTCACTAGTGGTAGCAATTTCAGTGACAAATGGATGCCAGCAGGAGAAAAAAACTGGTGATTTCCAGCCACCTGCAGTGGCTCATGCCTATAATTCCAACACTTTAGGAGGCCAAGGCAGGAAGATTGCTTGTGTCCAAGAGCTCGAGACCAGCTTGGGCAACACAGCACAATCTCCATCTCTACAAAAAATACAAAAATTCACCAGGCGTGGTGGTGTGCACCTCTACTCCCAGCTACAAGGGAGGCTGAAGTGAGAGGATTGCTTGAGCCTGGGAGGTCGAGGCTGCAGTGAGCAGTGACTGTGCCACTGCATTCCAGCCTGGGCAGCAGACTGAGATCTTGTCTTAAAAAAAAAAAAAGGTGAGCTCCATAGGAAGCCATGAAGCGTAATCTTTGAAAAACTCAAAAAACAATGGTCGCTCTATGAGCACCATGTAGAACGAATGTTAGGTTGGCCTCAGAGACAATATGCTTTGTTGACTCAACTCCTCTGTGGCACATGGTGGGCTATAAATGTAACAATGATCAGTCAATCATATAAAACATTTTATTGCATAAGAAGACTTGGGTTTCACATGAATATGTGAATTCCCTTTCTACACATCAAATTATAATTGATGTATTATATTTCTTCTGGAAAGCTAGAGAAATTGCAGCCATGTGGTTGTGTTATTTTCTACTAATATTTGCCTTATAATGAAGGGAAACAAGCATATTTCTTAAGGAACAGGTGTGTGTGCTAGTGATTCAAGAGAGTAGCAAACAGCAGTGGCCTGCTGTCATAGAAACAGCCTGGTATCCTAGCAACAAGCATATTCATTTTCCTGGCCTGCCCTGTGGAGTTCTGTCAACACAGGTAAAGGGTTTATCCATAGAACTTGAGTGACAGCCTTTCTGCTCCAAAGTAAAGCTACGCCCATAAAGCTACACCCATATATGTAAATCTGTAAATGGAGGGGAAGGCAAATCATTCTGGCAAGGAGCCAGTGGCTTGGAGGCTACAGGACAGAAATGAGGGAGTTAAATTTACTCATCTTCTCTTCATATAGATAGGCTAGAAATAGGTCTCTTTCTGTATTTGTTGGCTCTCTTAATGGAAGGATCAAAAATTCAGTGGCTAATACCATGACCTATGGCTCTGCTCCCCCTGCCCTTCTTTGGGTTAAAAAGTGCAGTCTTTTTCCAAAACTTCATTTGACCTCTGCTGTTCCTGTGTTTTAAGCCACAAAGACTATGGGGAAGAGGGCAGGACATATCTGGGTAGTGAAGAAGGTTGTAGCTCCCCCTTTTCCACATATTTTAATTGTAATCCCTAAATTCTATGAGACGATCGAGAACATTTTTGATCAGGAAAATATCCAAAATATCTCATGCCCCCATAGGAAATCTCAAATTATTGGAACCTAGTTTGGAATAGCAAGCATCCTGCATGATGGCATGGCACAGAGGGGTAATTTTCTGAGTTCAGGACAGGAACTCGATAGGATTTATACCCCGACTTAAAAAAAAAAAACTTCCGCTCTCTATGTCTGTCCCCTTTCTCCATTTTTTCCACATTTATTTACTGTGTCCTAGGAATTATT